GCCGCCTTCCCCGCAGGGCATGCCGGGAGAGGTAGTCCGCCGCTGCTCGGGCGCGGGGCCTCGGGCAGGCCTTTCCGTCGGACGCGGGTTCGAGTCCGGACCTTGTCCCCTTTTTTGCGGGGGGGCTTCTTTAACTAACTCCTGCTCCAACTGCGAGCTCCTGAACGTGTTTGGACACAGCCCTAGTCCAGGAGTTAACGACCAGTCGGTACCTCTGGGCATGTGCAGAGTGCCCGGAACCCGGCAAGAGGGGGAAGTCCACCAAGCTGGATTCCAGCACTGGTAGCCTCGCCGTCGGTTTGAAACCTCACGATGTGATGTTCCACAGGCTGGCAAGAGGGCCTCTGAGCATAGGAGGAGCACCAGCCCTTCTCCCTCCGCCTTGAAAGCCCTCCTCCGGCGTGGAGACAGGGGGCAGAGTTCCCTTATTAGCAAATCAGGCTGCAGACCGGCTGGAAAATTTCACAGGGGCTTTGGGGGAACTGGACGAAGCAGGAGACCCATTTCTGGGCTACAATGACTGATGGACCCCCGGCAGAATTGCCTTTCCTGACCCCAGAATGCAAAACCTTAGCTGGGCGAGGGGGCTTGGTGCCCCCCAGGCCGTTTCTATCAATCACCCGGAGGTTCTAGCTGCAGAGCAACACACAGAAAGCAGGTCCTTGGTGTTCCTGTCGATCCTCCGGCGGGCACCGCTGGGCCCCTTTTGTGCAGGACACACACACCAGTCCAGCCCCGGAATTCCCATACCTCCAGCTCCCCCCAGAGCCCCCCAATCTATGGGGAGCCCCAAGGCCCTCTCCCCCCAAATCTTGGCATTCTTTCACTGGCTTTATCACTCCAGCCACTAGCGATGCCAGCCACGCAAAACGATGGCCATGTAAATCAGGAGGGCCAGCCCTGTCTGGTCAAAAAAGTCAAGAGGGCAGCTGCTGCGATGTGATGGAAGCTCCACCTGTTTTTATGATCGATGCCTCCATTCTATTGCACTGGTGGCCGCCATCTTGACTTTTGTGACCACACCCTGCTGATGGAAACGTTGCCCTTTTGGCCCTATTCAACGCCACACTTTTTCTAATAGCCAAATCCCCTTTGGCCTAATTGGAGCTTACTGGATCCCGAAAACGATCGATTATTTGAAACCCAAGGCAGGGAGATTCGAGACTGGTAAAACGGATCACGTCTTTGCGGAACACGGAACTGAACTCTGGGACTCGCTGCCCCTCGACAGGTTTGGCTGGGCAGACGAGGGGCTGCGCCGGTTCATGGCGGATCATGGCTTCCTCGCAGTACCGGTATGATCCCCAGACATCGACCTTCTCGGTGAGTGGGAGCGGATATTATCTTCTTCCCCGTGTTGGTGGATTTCTGACATCCAGCTGGTCAAGTTGGAGTCCACACGTCCTGAGAAACACTGCCTTAACGTGTTATATTCACGCACCGTGCTGAACCAAATCAATTACAGCTGTAGCAAAGTTTGAGGAGCATTAACCTCCATTCCTCTTTTCAGGGTCATTGGCTGTTATGAGAACGCCTCTGCTTGGTTCGCTCATGCGTCAGTGCACGGCACAAACCCTGAAAACCGGTGACGTCAGAAACCAGGTTAAACACGTTGCGTGAATGCAGCAGTGTGGAATCGGGATGTTTCCCTCCCTCCTGTCGTCGGTAACTCCTATTTTTCCCAGCATAAGAGCCGAGCATCCCTTTTTCTCTGCCGGGAATTCGCACGAATCGCTTGGCACCTGTCAAGCGGAATCTAAGATCTTAACTGCGTCGCAGTTCGGGGTCATCTGCAGCTTTCCTCACTTGATCCACATAATTTAGAAAGCGGTTGAACAAAGACAAGACTCCCAGGACGCCACGCGTGTCACTCCTAATTAAGTGGTAATGAAACATGGATGTACAGTATTTGTCCATGTACCCAACCAACAGGGCTGGAGAAGGCTGACCTCACTGGAAAACCCTTCCTATTTTGAAGACCGATTTAGGAAGCCAGTTTCCTCACATGGCACCCTGCTGTGGCATAGTCTGTTTTGACCAGGCTTTTTTTGCACCAGCCCTAACAGCCTGATTTATATCACCAGGGTTTCAAACCATGATGGCTAGGTTTCACGTACCCCTTTGCCAAAATGAAGCCAACCCAAAATGGGTTTTGGGTGGACTATCCTGGGCTGTTCCCTGACTCTACTGAAACTTGGGAATGGAGAGATGCAAATTGGATAGTCCTGAAGCAGTTCTCCAGCTTAGTGCCTTCCTGGTCAGTTGAGACTACAATTCCCAGAACACCACTCTCATTCTTGTGCTGCTCTTAATGTTGGTCAAACAAGTTTTGCAGATATTTAAGCACTCAAAAAAAAAAAAAAAAGCTTGTTTTCTGTATATGGGATTGAGATTTCTATACACACCACATCTTAACCGTCGCCGTTGCCTTTTTAGTGAAACTACACCCAACATGAGGCGGAAGGGGGCCTATCATCAGATATTTTTGACTTAATAGATGAGTAGTGAATTTGGATGGGCTACAGCAGAGACGAAAGGAGCACAGCTTTTCACTTGACTCAGTTTCCCCAAAAGTATCCCCTTAAGTTGCTGTTAGTTGTGGGGAAAGGTGGGAAGAAGTCACATAAAAAAACAGGTATCTGTTTTTCCCCTCCTCCTACCCTTCTTTACCTCAACAGGGTAAAGAAACAGGTACGTTGCTTTGTGGCTCAAATGGTTTACAAAGGTGATCCAACCCAACTGCTGCTTTGAGTCGCCTAAACAATGCTTCAGCTTTACTTTTTACTTTTTAAAAATGATTTAGTTCAGGTGGGCCTTGATTCTCTCCCTAAACGGCTCTGCTTGTTTTAAAGAAGAATGGAATAGCACCCCAGCCGGGTCTGGACCTCAGCGCTATCTAGCCTATGACTTGTGTGTGTGCTTTCAAGAAGCAAGTGGAATTAGCTGTGCAAAAAGCTGGTTTAGTAAGCAGCCCTTTGTGGAAGATGGGGCTTTCTGCTTTGAAAGCCAGCGCTCATCAAGAGGAACCCAGCTGCATGACGCGAGCAGAAGGAACGTTGCTGGTTCTGCGGGTTGCAATTTCCATTATTCCTGTTTCCTGCAGGGTTCTCCTAGCATGGCTCACAGGGGAGTTTCCTTTCCTCTCTGGCATGTGAAGGTGGCGCATGAACACCTCCCGGGCTATGGGCAAAGCTCCAGCCACTCATACTTGCACATCTGCCTGGCATGCCATCTGCAGCTAGGTGGCCAGGTCAGGCTGGTCGTGACCTCATCGTCGGGCAGGATGTCACGGGCAGGTTGACGGTGGAGATGTGTGTTCTCCAGGGACCAGAATCCAGGTCTCGGCAGGTAATTGTGTAGCTTGAAAGACAGGCTGTAAAAATGATTGGCTTCCTTGAAGCAGAAGAAAAGGGTTATCATCTGTTCTGTGGCCGGGCCAAACCTCACGGGGTTCCCATTGTGTGCGTTATCTCAAGCTTATTTTGCGTGTGTTATCTCAATCACTGTTGGAAAACCCCAGTCTACCATTTGTGAACCCCGTCCAATTGTGGTTTGTTGAAGAGATCACAAAAATGTGGCTTAGGTTGATAGGCACCAAACCCTGCCATTTTCGCCCAATTGTTAAGGGGGTCCCCAGCACCCCACTGTTCTTCTGTGCCCTTCTTAGGTGGTGTCCTTCATCCTAGCAAGGCTGGGCCTACAATACCATCTTTGCTCTTATCCCAAACTCCCTGACTGAACTCCTGGAAGTGTACGTTGCAGGTGGAGCTAACCTTGGGTGTTGTTTCTAACCTTGGGTGACCTCAACAAACCACATACTTAGAAACAACAGCCCAGCTTTTCTTTCAAAGACGTTGTTATGCTAAAATCTGGTTGCTATCTAAGCAGACCAGCCTAAGCACTTTCTCCCCTTCCTTTAAGGTCCAGAAGTAGAAGTCAGCCCATCCATTTAGGACAGGGTTTCTCAACCTTGGCAGCTTTCAGATGGGTGGACTTCAACTCCCAGAATTCCCCAGCAAGCTGGGCTAGCTGGGGAATTCTGGGAGTTGAAG